ATTCTCTTGCCTCAGCCTCCAGAGTAGCTGGGACCACAGGTGCCCACCACAAAGCCCAGCTAAAATGTTTTGTTTCTTAAACTGGGTGACAGGTGCCTGGATGTGTGTTATTACACATATTTACCTTAAACATGTACCTATATATTTAACAAATCTTACAGAACTTACCATGCACCAGGCACTATATTAAGGGCTTTGGAGATGATCACTCTCTCTTACCAGTAAATGCATTTTAAGACTACAAAATAACTCATGGTTAAAGGGGACACAGTAGGGCACTAGTGTGAACAGAGGAGGGTCCTAGGGCGTGAGCATCAGAGGCCCCAAAATACCATCTCTAACACCAGAAGGTGCATGTTATATTATTTTTTAATGGAACATTGAACTTTCATTGTCTAAATTCACTTGTTGAGCATAGCCTGTCACAGACCGGCCCCTGCCAACCATTTGTCTGCGTTCACATGAGAGGGTGCTCGCTCGTAGCTACATTCCTCCTGTGGGACTTCCCCCAGTACCATATGAGGCCTAAAAGCCACCCTGAGCACACATCTCAGAGCCTCAGGTGTGTGCGCTCCCAAACCAGGGCTCGAAGGAGCTGCCCCCCCACCCTGGGCACCCAGGCTCAGTCCCTGACCTGAGCTTCGGCTCTGCCTCCCCCTCGTTGTGCAGCATGTTGTGTAACTGTGTTCTGACCCCGCGGGAGAACTCCCAGGAGCTGGCCAGGCTGGAGGCCTTCGCCCGAGCCTACAAGGTGAGACCCAGAAGGCTCATTCTGTGTTCTCTCCCCACCTTCACAAGCCCCACTAGGGGAGATATGCAGGAAGGGAGAGGCTGGCGGGGAGATGTTGCCCACTCTGGGTCCCTTCCTCTGCCCCACTGGCTGAGGGGTCTCAGATGCCCTAGTTGGAGCCATTCCAATGGGATCCCGGCAGTAGAGGCCTCACTCCTGAGCTACCCTTGGGGGCTTAACCCCAACTCCCGGCCTGTAGCCCTGATGCCCCATGAGACCACCTTACCTTATCCTGTACCCTGGAGGCCCACCTGCACCCCAACCCCACCCCAGCCCCACCCCCACACTCCCATCTGCCTCGACAGGCAGGCCACAGAAGGGGGCTCACAAGTCTGGAGCCAGGGGACCTCTGGACACTCTTCCCAGGTTTTTATTCCTGTGGGACTAGATGTCTAGCCTTCAGAGACTGCAGGCCACTTAGAACCAAAACAAAAAGGTGACTCAGCCTGTTTCTAAATTCTCTGGAAAGGAATTTGTCATCAGGTGTGTTTGTGTTCTCAAGGCAAGGGCTCACTCGGCCCCTCAACACTGCCCACCATCCCTGCCCTTGCGCCACTGGACACTCAACCCACCACAGCCTGTACTGATGGCCCCCACACATGTGTCCCCAGAGCAGCATGCGTGAGCTGGTGGAGTCAGGTCGCTACGACACACGGGAGGACTTTGCCGTGGTGCTGCAGCCCTTCTTCCAAAACGTTTCGCTCCCTGTCCTGGCGGTATGTCCTCCACCCTCGCCCGTGGGGCTCAGGAGGGGAGAGCCTGCCGAGGGTGCCTTAGAGGAGAAAACTTAGAAGCAGAAATACCAGTGCTTTCATCAGCATGTGAATGAAACAGGAAAGACACAGACAGCACTCCACATCCTGTTCTGGTGGGTACAGCCCCCTTGAATGTCTGAGCCGTGTTCCCAGAGGCAGCCAGATGTGGAGCACTCCCATTGCCCCTGATAACTGCCTCTAGTGTACCAAGCACCTATGATGTGCCAGGCACTGTGCTTCCTGTGGATAAAACTGGCACCACTGCCGTTGCAGGTGATATTATCACCTACATAGAAACAGAGGTGCAGAGACGTGACTGTACTTTCGTAAGATCACATAGGAAGTAACAGACAAGATTTGTCCAACTCCAGATATAAACGTCTGCTACATGCACGGTCTCTCTTGCGTGGGACACTGCAGTTATAAGGGAGGGTTCTGGGTATTGTCCGTTTCCACTTTCGTCAAGCTCTTTGCCTGCCCTGCTGCTCTGAGCAGAAGTGATCCAGGAGGGAACCAGGTGAGGACTGAGGTCTGTCCCCTCAGGGTCTCTATCCCACAGCCTCATCCACCTGGAGGGAAACTGGAGGGACAGCAGTTTTGCAGACTCCCAGGTCCCTCAAGAGGGAAAAGGCTGGAGACAGATACCCTACCCAGGCCTGCTCTGAGGCTTGGCTGTGTTCTCCCCACCAGGGCCAGTGGGCTGAGGGCTGGCAGGTAGCTTCTCCGAGCTGGCTGATCAAGACTACCTCAGGAATGAGTGTCTCTCTCTCATCCATGGCATGGGCTAGCATGTTATGTGAATGTACCTAAAAATAAATACAGCAGCTGTTTTTTTATTAAGGGGAATTATAGGGTCAGGAAGGAAGGTGGGAGATTGGGGTCACCTGAAGCTGCTCATTTGTGGGATGGCTCTGATCTCCCTCTTAAGGTGAGCAGGCCCTGAAGGGACCAGTGACCTGGAGCACTCCCAGGAGAGGAGGGAGTGGTGTGGGCAGTACCAGAGGCCAGGCTGCTTAGCTGTGGCGGCTCCCTCTGAACCAATAGGATCTTTTTTTTTTTTTTTTTTTAACCAATAGGATGTTGAAAGAATATATTTGTCTCTTTCAGGATGGGCGCCCAGATACATCCTTCTTTGCCCCAGACTGCACCCATCCAAGTCAGAAATTCCACTCCCAGCTCGCCAGGGCCCTTTGGGTCAATATGGTAAAATAAGTGGGATGTCCTTGGCCCCCCGGGGTTCTAATGTAGAGCAAAGCACCAGCCTCTGTAGCATTGACCCTGGCTCTTGGCATCCATTTGTGAGCAAGGCTGAGAAGAACAGTGGCTGGCACATCTGTAGAAGGCCCTAGAATTGAAATTACAGAGTCCTTAAAAGTCTCCTCAGCCTGGTCCTATGGCATCCTCTCCTCAGTGCTTTGAACCGCAAGGATGGAATCTCTCCAAAGAAACGCAAGGCAGAAACCCCTCATTCTTTTGCTATCTCCTACGTTTAAGCAGTTTAAGCCTTTTTATGTCATTCAAGTGTCTCCACAGCCCTGCTAGGGATGGACTGTGAGTCTCTGAGGAGACACCCAGAGAAGCTAAGCAACTGGTCCCATACCCCACAGCTGGCCATGGCCTGAGCCAGGGTGGACGCCAAACCTCCTGAAATGGGGCGCTGAGCTTTCCCTACCTCAGGGCGCTGCCAGGGAATGTTTGCTTCAGCAGAGACAAATTGGTACACCTGTGGCTCTCTGTTCTTCCTGATCAGCTTGAACCACTTGGAAGCAAAGTGGATGCCCTGGAGCTGACAGCAGAGATCCCCCTCACCTGCCCCACACAGGTAACCAGGAAGGGCCCACCTGCTCCTCTCCAGAGGCCCAGGGCAGAGCTCGGCCTCCTCCACAGCTTCCTGTGTCCACCTTGATCCTTTACTGAGACATGAGGATGGGTGGGGGGATGCAGAGGGACGAGAATGAAGCAGCTGTTATTTCTCTGGGCAAGGGACAGGGGGCCTGGGCCCCTGCAAAGGGTGTGGATTCCAGGGAGAAAGGTGAGTTCTTGACAGTGGCAGCCAAACAGTCAGGAGACCAGAATCTGGGGTAGGTGGAAAAGCCTGACTATGGGTTGGAGGGCCAGCAAAGGGCCAGGCAGACTTGGAAGCTGGAGTTAGTGACAGTAATGCAGGGATTGGGGAGGTCCTC